AACTAAAACATGTTCATGAATATAACAATAAACTGCAGTCAATTTACTGGGCTTGCTGCAATAAATCCTTCCTGCCATTTGAGCTCTTATGAAGATGCAAAGCCAGCAGTTACTTTCTTAATCTGCAGTCTCTGTCTATATCTACCACCACCAACCTGTATTGTTAAGCATATTCATAGGTCTTCTTTAGATGTATCCAGACTATGAATTACTTAGTAGAAATAGATTTTGGTCTAGATTCATGTTTTTCCTCTATAAAATCCTAATACAATCTTATTCCATAACCATGAGACAGCTTCATTGGTGGTATACAATTTTTATGAGTTACAATTCCCTCTGCTTGAGTAATGCTAAAATGCTATTCTTCTATATGTACCACTGGTTCCTATCATAGTAACTAACCTGGAAAATGACAAATGAATTTGTATTAAACTTGTGGCATACATCATTGGACTAGGCCGAGTCTTACACTCGGAAAGGTTTAGTCTATTTGACCACAATGTTATAGGAGTAAAACTAATATCTGATTCAAATAAAATATACACAAGGAGATGTCTAAAATTCTTTTTGAAGTTTCTTATAGCCCTTTCTATAGACCATCAGAACATATTGAGTTCCATGCTAACATTTTTAGTACCCAAATGAATGTAACATTAAAGATAACATATATCAATGGCTCTAAGGCATTTTCAAAATCAAAGACTTTTCAAGTCTATTTTAAGTGCTACTGGGACAAGCATATAGAAAGAAAGATTGTCAAACATCCAATCATTTTGGTTTGGTCAATTACTCTTCCTAACACTAAGCCGTTTGAACAGTATTATTCTTTATCAGTAAAAAAATAACTGACTTTTCGAAGTATACTTTTCTAGATCATTCTCGGCTACCGACCTGACCAACCACAGATTCCCAATCACATAGATCAGCAAAACAAATTATCTTCAAGTATATGCTTCCAAATGCTTTTATCATAAGCATGGATTGCCTTACCGATCCATACCAATGTACCAATCAACCGTTGGTACAGTACGTACCGAACTAACCCGAGCATACCGACACACGTTACATAGGGATGTACCGATGTACCACCCATACTAATCACCTATCGGATCGGTACATACTGCTTATACCGAACGGTATGCCATGGTACAGTGAACCTTGATCCTAAGATAAGGAGGCAAAACTTCTACAGGATGTGTCTTTTAACATATGATTTCCAACCTTTGGCTAAAATTTGCTGGCTAGATATTGCATCTTTTTTCATGTGAAAGTGTTGTGAATTGCAACTGTGAAGGAAATGCACATGTTAAGTTAAACCCATTGCTACCACTATAGTCATGGAGAAAACTCCCAGCTGGAAGATTTTCATCTGTAAATATATAATAAAAGATGGAATGCTAAAATGCTATTGGTGATGTGCAGATTATCCCTTAGTTCTTTACATTTAAGAAATGAGATATGGAACACAGAATTTTCCCTGTATATGTATGAAAATTTGCATAATAAGTTAATAAGGTTAATCATATCCTGGTGCTAGATAGTTATGTAACATACTAAATGCATGCTCCAGTGCTTCTTCACAAGTTAATAGGTAAATATAATTAAGTATATCATATATTTTCTCATTGGACTTGATTTCTCACGCCAAAGTCACAAATCATATGAACAAACTAAATAATTGAAATCATAACTTATTAATACTTGAGCAATAGCAAGAAGGATACTAGAATAAAAGATCTCACCTTTGAGACATGCTCAAGTGTCACTGCCTCAGCGACTATCCCTGTTCGTAACCTAATCTCAACAAAACCATTGTTCCCTTGCAAAGCAAAGCACTGCCCAGGCTCTCCAAAGCTAGGTTCCAACATTTTCTGAGCATTAGAATGAACCCGATTTCGGCCTTTTCCAAGAGACAGCCAGTTGCTAAACTTACCAACAACAAAGGGCTCTGAATGACTAATCACCCTTGCCCCACCAGAAGACAATGCATAATCAACCCTTCCCAGCCCGTCAGCTGCATGCTTCTCAATCTCCTTTTTCACTATCTCCTTGGCAAAATTTCTAACATCATCCAAAGTCACATCATGATTGCTACTACCTAAGTTTCTTCCTTTAGACTTGTCCAAAAAAGTTCGGAACTCCTCCTTCAACAAGAATCCCATGCCTTTCAATTCTGCTAATGACTTATCCAAGTTATCAGTTTGAGAAACCAGCCTCTTCAGTTCCTCCTCAAACGTCAGATCTTTTTCTTCCACTTGCTTCTTCAGCTCTCTCTTTGCAATTCCTACCTCAGTAAAAATCTTTTTCTCCACAACATCCACCTGAACTTGCAACATTTTTGCAACGCTTTTCATAGATGTCTCCACTTCGAATAGCCTGCTCTCACTATCTAAAGAGGAGAAGTCCCTTTTGTACCTTATCATAGCTTCCCATCTCCATATCAACTGACCAAGCCATAAAACAGCCACCAGAAGCAGGCAAATCTTTGTAACAACACTTACGAAAGTTTGCCACTTGAGCTTCTCTGGTTTTGGAATCCCTTTCTTACGCCGTGGACCAATGGGTGAAGCAACCAACCCTCTCTTCACTTCTGTGATATTTTTGGGCCTCTCGTGCAAGGACTGGCCTCTAATCTTACGATTAAGGTCGTTCATGTTCCCATCATTATCCACACTCGATTTCTTCTCTGTGACAGCAACCCTTCTCCGTGATTCTGGTGTAGCATTCAATTCCAAAGTCAATGAAGCATTTGCTGCAGGATTTGGAACCGCAGCATTCGATGCAGACATGCCTGTCTCTTTTCTGGAAACAACCTAACAAGACTACAATTTCACGAAAAACAGTCCAAATTGTGACACAAAGGACAACAAAATCTAAATTTATGATAGACAAAAAAAGTCAACAAAGTGGAAAATTCACCAAATTTTCCAAGCGGAAAAAGAGGACCATGAGTTCTGATAACACAAACAACAAATTAACTTGATAAGAACTATCCATAAGTGCACCAAATTAAGACAAACAAAACGAACACTCCTGTAGAAATCTGTACAATTGACGAGTGCAAGATGCAGTAAAACACAGATATGAATAACTTCAAGGAAAAAAAAGGCCTAAATCTGACCAGAAAGTGTATCAAAAAACCAAAACAAATCCAAACTAGAGAATCAAAGAAAGCACGCCCCATCGTGACAGCGAAAAGGGACGGAGAAAAAGAATCCTTAAAAGCAAATCCGGAGAAAAAAACAAGATACAAAAACCCTAGTTTTCTATCATTAGAAAAAAAAACCAGAAATCAACGGAAAAGACGAATCAGGAGCCGGAACCAATCCAAGGAACCGATCTAAGGGAGCGAGGAGTGATGTATACCATACGAATCCAGCTCATCACTGGCTCCAAACGGTCAAGGAGCCGGTTGAGCGCCAAGAGGTTTCGGAAATCTGTCTCCTTTTCGCTGAGAGAGAGAGAGAGAGAGAGGACTATAGGAGGGGTGCAAATTGCTGGGATTTTTACACAAAA